CCCCCTGCTGGAGCGCGCATCCTACACGCCATTACACGCCTGTTCTGTCTTCGTGCTGTGTCCTTTCCTCCTCATCACCTCGTTCCCACGGGAAGGGGAGCTTCGGGAGTGCCGGGCCCTTATTGACAGAGTCGGCCGTGAACTCCCGTACCTGGAACCGTGCGAACGAATGGAGGAACGAATGGAGGAACGAATGGAAAAGCGAAGGCGTGTATTAACTGTCATGGTCCCCGCTTTACAGACCTGTGCTCCTGAAAGCGCCCAGCCCCTCCCAGCGGGACCCTGTCCCCAGGACTGGCCCAGCCGCGGGGAGATCACGTTCCGAGACTATCGGATGCGGTACAGGGACGGCACGCCCCTCGTCCTCGACGGGCTTGACCTGCACATCCGGAGCGGGCAGACGGTGGGCATCGTGGGAAGAACAGGCTCTGGTGAGGACAGGCTCCGCCCACTTCCAGGTCGGTCCCTGCACGTGCGGCGGCGCCCCAGCCGCAGATGGGCCGGGCTCCCCTCAGGTCTCTACTGAAAATACGGTTCCCGGTAGGATGGGCGTGTGGAGTTGGAAGCAAACACACACCAGTTTTTGAATTAATTACATGAGGACCATTCTGGAGAAACGAGACCCAGAGGAGGAGCTGTGCGTACAGCCACCGCGGCAGGGGCGCTCAGCCGTGTGGGCAGGATAGCCATGTGGGGCGGTCAGCCATGTTGGGGCACCACTGACCCGGGCGTGGGCAGTTTCTGGCTGCGCACCCTCACTGCGGTTCCCTGCCTGAAAGACGCCCAGACTAGATACTTGGACACGATGGGAGTATAACCCGGTGTGTGACCTGTTGTCCCCGTCCCCAGGGAAGTCGTCACTGGGAATGGCCCTGTTCCGCCTGGTGGAGCCAGCGGGCGGCACCATCCTCATCGACGGGGTGGACATCCGCTCGGTGGGGCTGGAGGACCTCAGGACCAGGCTGACGGCCATCCCCCAGGACCCCGTGCTGTTTGTAGGTACAGTAAGGTAGCTGTTTGGATCGCTGTGCATCCCTATTTTCCGAGAGTGAAATCAGACCGCAAGGAACTGTGGGAGGCGCCCATGGCGAGGCCAGCCGGCCAGGCTGCTCTGCCCGGGGGAGTAGCGTGCCCAGGGGCTGGCACCGGCTCCCCAGGGAGGCCTGGGAGGAGCCGCGAACCAGCGCCCTGAACGTGACGTGTAGTTTACAGACCCATCGCTAGCAAGCAGGACGCTTACACGCGGTGAGCAGAATCCTGGCTCATGCCTGCAGCTCAGCGTCCTGTCAGGGTTAGCAACAGCCACTCTGAGGAGTCCCGGTCCGGGCACTAACACAGCGGTTATCCACCCGGAACTGTGTCAGCATGAAGTTCCCGGACAAGCACAGCAAGTGGCAGCTTCTGCGGGTTCTGGCCGGCGTGCAGGCTCAGCTGGCCCCTCTCTTGGTCCTGCGAGCCCCGACCCTCTCCTGAGAGGGACGTCTCGCCCCCTGAGCGCAGCGGCCACACTTAGCGTTGTATGGAAACACATTCCCTGCGCAGACTCCCACCCACAAATGGGCTGCCCGCCTCTGGCAGCCCGGGACTGTAGGCAGTGGATGCAATGCTCCCTCCCCTTCCTGTCTGTTGAGAATCTGCAGAAGGTCGATCTCGCTGGGGCTGGGGCCAGACCACTCTCACACCCCCTTGGTGGGCTCTGTGGGTCCCGGGTCTCTTGGCCGGAGGTTGGTGTTTGATGGGCCATCGCTGGGGCTAAGTGAGCCCTGCCCCAGAGCCGCTGGACCCTGACTGCCTCCTGCCCCCCGCCCCCCCGCCTCCGGAGCCTGCTCCCCAGGCCTCTCCGTTCCTTCGCAGGTTCAACCTGGACCCCTTCGAGAGGCACACGGACGAGATGCTCTGGCAGGTGCTGGAGCGAACGTTCATGCGA